CTCATCATACACCACTCATCATACACCACTCATCATACACCACTCATCACACACCACTCGTCATACACCACTCATCATACACCACTGGTGAGATGACTCAGATTTCGTGGCAGGCGCAGCACTTTGTGAACCTCCATGTGCAGATTTCGTGGCAGGCGCAGCACTTTGTGAACCTCCATGGCAAGATTTCGTGGCAGGTGCAGCACTTTGTGAACCTCCAGGTGCAGATTTCGTGGCAGGTGCAGCACTTTGTGAACCTCCAGGTGCAGATTTCGTGGCAGGCGCAGCACTTTGTGAACCTCCATGCGCAGATTTCGTGGCAGGCACAGCACTTTGTGAACCTCCAGGTGCAGATTTCGTCGCAGGCGCAGCACTTTGTGAACCTCCATGTGCAGATTTCGTGGCAGGCACAGCACTTTGTGAACCTCCAGGTGCAGATTTCGTGGCAGGCGCAATACAAAATGCGTTTTGGAGAGATAGCGGACGCACAAAATGCTGCATTTTTCCATAGAACCGGTGGCTTCAAACCTGGCAAGTCTAGCTCTGTGGAACGACGGGTGCGAGACGGTCTCGGGTCATGCTCGGATCATGGTCGGGCATGGTCGGAATCGTCCCTCCATTGGGATTAGAGTTTTCACTTGTTTCTTGAAGTGCAGATTTCGTGGCAGGCACAGCACTTTGTGAACCTCCATGTCCAGATTTCGTGGCAGGTGCAGCACTTTGTGAACGTCCATGTGCAGATTTCGTGGCAGGGGCAACACTTTGTGAACCTCGAGGTGCAGATTTCGTGGCAGGCGCAGCACTTTGTGAACGTCCATGCGCAGATTTCGTGGCAGGCACAGCACATTGTGAACCTCCAGGTGCAGATGTCGTGGCAGGCGCAGCACTTTGTGGAGCTCCATGTGCAGATTTCGTGGCAGGTGCAGCACTTTGTGAACCTCCAGGTGCAGATTTCGTGGCAGGCGCAGCACTTTGTGTGAACCTCCAGGTGCAGATGTCGTGGCAGGCGCAGCACTTTGTGAACCTCCATGTGCAGATTTCGTGGCAGGCACATCACTTTGTGAACCTCCAGGTGCAGATTTCGTGGCAGGCGCAGCTTTGGAGAGATAGCGGACGCACGAAATGCTGTATTTTCAATAGAACCGGTGGCTTCAAACCTAGCTCTGTGGAACGACGGGTGCGAGACGGTCTCGGGTCATGCTCGGATCATTGTCGGAATCGTTCCTCCATTGGGATTAGAGTTTTCACTTGTTTCTTGAAGTGCAGATTTCGTGGCAGGCATAGCACTTTGTGAACCTCCATGTCCAGATTTCGTGGCAGGTGCAGCACTTTGTGAACGTCCATGTGCAGATTTCGTGGCAGGCGCAACACTTTGTGAACCTCGAGGTGCAGATTTCGTGACTTCGAGGTGCAGATTTCGTGGCAGGCACAGCAATTTGTGAACCTCCATGTGCAGATTTGGTGGCAGGTGCAGCACTTTGTGAACCTCCAGGTTCAGATTTCGTGGCAGGCACAGCACTTTGCGAACCTCCATGTGCAGATTTCGTGGCAGGCACAGCACTTTGTGAACCTCCATGGCAAGATTTCGTGGCAGGTGCAGCACTTTGTCATCCTCCATGTACAGATTTCGTGGCAGGCGCAGCGCTTTGTGAACCTCCATGCGGAGGTTTCGTGGCAGGCACTGCTGAGAACTGGCGACTTTCTAGTACAACTTTAGTAAGCGGAGCAATCTGTAGAACTGGAAGCTGAGAACTGGCGACTTTCTAGTACAACTTTAGTACGCGGAGCAATCTGTAGAGCTGGAAGCTGAGAATTGGCGACTTTGTAGTACAACTTTAGTACGCGGAGCAATCTGTAGAGCTGGAAGCTGAGAGCTGGCAACTTTTTAGTACAACTTTAGTACGCGGAGCAATCTGTAGAGCTGGAAGCTGAGAACTGGCGACTTTCTAGTACAACTTTAAGGAGCAGTCTGTAGAGCTGGAAGCTGAGAACTGGCGACTTTGTAGTACAACTTTAGTACGCGGAGCAATCTGTAGAGCTGAAAGCTGAGAACTGGCGACGTTGTAGTACAACTTTAGTACGCGGAGAAACCTGTGGAGCTGGACGCTGTGACTGGGGAGCTGGAGGCTGAGAACTGGCGACTTTGTAGTACAACTGTAGTACGCGGAGCAACCTGTGCAGGAAGCTGAAAACTGGCCACTTTGTAGTACAACTTTAGTACGCGGAGTATCTGGGGAGCTGGAGGCTGAGAACTGGCGACTATGTAGTACAACTTTAGTATGCGGAGCAACCTGTGGAGCTGGAAGCTGAGAACTGGCCATTTTGCAGTACAACTTTAGTATGCAGGAGTCATCTCTCGCGACTGAGTCATCTCTCGCTGCTGAGTCATCTCTCACGACTGAGTCATCTCTCGCTGCTGAGTCATCTCTCGCTGCTGAGTCATCTCTCACTGCTGAGTTATCTCTCGCTGCTGAGTCATCTCTCGCTCCTGAGTCATCTCTCCCTGCTGAGTCATCTCTCACTGCTGAGTCATCTCTCGCTGCTGAGTCATTTCCCGCTGCCGAGTCATCTCTCGCGACTGAGTCATCTGTCGCTGCTGAGTCATCTCTCGCGACTGAGTCGTCTCTCGCTGCTGAGTCATCTGTGGCTGCTGAGTCATCTCTCATTGCTGAGTCATCTCTCGCTGCCCACTCATCATACACCACTCATCATACACCACTCAACATACACCACTCATCATACACCACTCGTCATACACCCCTCATCATACGGACCGCACAGACCGCCGGGAAATGCACTCGCCTTGCCCCGGCGAGGAGCAGTTTCGCTGTTTTTGACTTTGAAAACACCTCCCACTGCTCGCAGGAACTGCACTTAACTTTCGATTGCAGCTGCCCAGTTGCTTCAGCACGCCGGTGTGGGCTGCTGATCTTGCTTTGCCATAGACACAACCCAGTACGCTGTTGTGAGCTGCTGATCCTGCAGGAAGCACAGACCTTGCACAGGTGGCGCTGTGTTGATCAAAAGTCCGGAGCGCGTGCGTTTGACTGGGGGACGCGCGTGTTTGAGAGAACCGGAACACTCCTATAGGTCAATTTGTTCTTATAGGAAACTTCCGCTGCCGGCTTGCCCGGGAACTGCTTGTAGAGGTATAGGTACTATATACAGTAGGCTTTATCCCAGTGATTTTGAGAAAAACACAACACTCACCTTGCAATTTGGCTTGCGGTGCAGTTTCGTTTTTTGGACAACGTGATGTTTACGCCGCTCGTGACTCAGTTTTGTAACATGCTCTGTTCTGTCCGGCTGTCTCCCCAAAAAGCCTGCCTTGTGCCGAGGCCGTTTGTCCTATGAGGCGAGGCCCCAATGTTCGCACGAACCCGTGCAATGGCGGCTGAGTCCGATGGGAGACGCCCGATCGCCCCGGGCTGGGTAGAGTGGGTCGTTGGAAGGTCTCCCTATTTGAGCTACACAAATCCCAGACACGACTAATGGGACTGCCATATATGCCGATCAGTTGCGGTGGTTTGAGGGGTCAATGGGGCGGCACATATGGCAGTCCCATGGAGTGTCTGGGAATGATCATTCACGACCGCACGCTCGCCTCGTCGAGGATCCAAACTCGATTGGGTGTTTGGGTGGAATTCCTTTTGGGGGTTGATGAGCAAATACACCGGGAACAAGGAAGGATATAAAGGGATTTGGTTTAGTAACTATACTAAACCCTCGCGATGCACTGCCAACCTTTCAGAAACTGGTTTCTTGAGTGAAACGGGGGTGCTTGACTGGAGGGTCAGGAAGAAGTGTTTACTTCCATACATATTGAACCTATACAATGACTTGAGAACAGGGATCCATCAAAGTCTTATGGCTGGGAGGACAAACCGATTCATGAATACAACTTGGGCGACTTGGGTCTGTCCTAGTACCTGTAATAAGCAAGAACATCACGATTTTAGAGAAAGTCCTTTACTAGCTCTCATCATCCATTGTTACGTAGTGGGATATACCCAAAATACAACCATCCACAGACAGTTTGTGAGAATCACACGAATCATGGCATGAAACCAACGGCTTGTCCAATGACTATCATTTGTACCATTGGACAATGACAGGGATTGACATCATGTCGGATTGACACTATGAGAATCCATGGGTTGCTTCCCAGCGATTGGAAGATCAAATCTACAGACCGGCTTGGAGCAATTCTAAGGTCCCTCAAGGTGGAGACCTGCAGGGCCAGATACTAAGGGCCCTCGGAAGACCTTGTTCAGTCCAATGATGCCTTTGATTCATCATGTTAACTTGATACTGCTGGTTCAGGTAGCTTTTGATACTTGTGGGGACAGACCCAACAAAAAACCCATCTGTTTCTCTTCATTGAACCCCTTGACAAACCAACATGGTGTGACACGGTCTCCAAAATGAATGGTGTGACCCGGCCACCCGGAAAAGCGCGATGGGACCGAAATGGGACCACGATTCTTCATGCCGTGGAACTCCCACGATCAGCCCAGCATTGATCTTCCTCTCAAAAACAGGCGTCTTGCCTCGTCCAGCACCATGCGCCCAGCACCATGCGGGGTCGCACCTGAACGGTTTGGCCCCGTGGCTGCGAATATAATGTGACAAAGGCAGCTTGAGAGTCAAAGCAATGGTCATGTGCAGATTCCATCGACTATATATAACGTTCCCAAATTCATGGAACAAATTATGAAGTTGTGACCTTTAACATACCTTTAACATACATACTTGAACCTAACATAATATACTGATATACTGCATTTGGGGAACCACCACACTTTGGCAAAAAGGAATCGCCTCAATCATTGGCGGTTTGGAGGGATCTACGGATGGCTGCAGCCACGTGTCACTCGTCTCACGCACCTTGTCATCCGTTTCACGAGGAGAATCTCTCCGCTTGCCCGAATTGAGTGTTGTGCCGGAAAGAGATCGTCTTCTCTTTTGTTGGTTTCTTCAAAGCTGGGAAGCACCGAAGGGGTTTACTGAAACAGTCCATGAGTGTTTTTTTTTCTCATGGCATGTGGTGGATGCATATTGGAGATCATCGGGGCGATGTTCAGGGATCAATTGGGGTCGCAGCTTATAAGAAACATTCAAGCTTATTCGATAGGGCACAAGGGTTCTGTCAAGGGAAGCCAGAGGAATACCTAGTGATTGGCAGGCCCCTACTTGGCCAGCAGTGCCAGCCGGCGATGCGTTGCTCCCCAAGCTGGGTGACTTGCTCCCCAGCTGTCAAGGCTTGGAAGAGGGAAGAACCATGGTGACCATTCCTACCTAGCGCTTCCTGTCAGGGTGCCCTGTCTGGAGACCTGTTTACGTAGTGTGGAGATATCCAGCCAGGTGACCCCGAACGGAAGCAGCTGGTAAGAAGTTCATCCCAGCATTGGCCATGGAGCTCCCCAATACGCTCAATACATGATTTTACTTGGCAATATGTTTAGTAGGTAATTCGATCAGTTGATACAACATGCAGATTGCAACCAGCTGGTAGGTACTACTTGGGGTGAGCCGATTCCCTCGACGTGTTCTGCTGCAGTGCGCTGTCGTCTTGTCTCCTCTTTGCGGGATTTGGTTCAAGGAAAATCTCGCGGCTCCCGCTATTCCAGCGGTTCGCTTCCCATTTGAAACGGATGAGATAAAAATGGAAACCAAGACCTGTAGATGTTTGTTGACTTGCTGAATCAGCGGATTTGAAAACTCGATCGGTCTTAACATTGGAGTGAAGGAGGTACTGTTGGAGTTAGAATCTTATACAGTCGAAACACGCCAGATATTTTGCATTTGGCACAAGGACCGCTGCTATTTCCCATGGCTGGAACATTATTTTACTTCCCTAAGCGTACATCGTTGGAGGCGTTGCGATCCTCGAGCTTATATAAATAGAACCACATTAGAACCACGCGGAGCACATGTGCTGCCACAGAGAGCAACTCACGAGCCTACTGCTCCACTCCAGCATCTTTTTGATGTTCAGACCCAATTATTTACCTTGGTCCAACTCTTTCTTCCTGAAACCTATGGGGGACCCATGGAGATGTTCAGCAGAACAGCCAAGGGTGAGCATCAGGCCCCAATTTCCAGCTTTTCGTTGTTTCTTCCGCGCCATGTCAAGCCCTGGGGGCGCTTCTGAAGGCGGTCTAGACGGTCTAAACTTCAGGGTGTGTGTGTGTGTTTCATTTTTTCAGATTTGATCCATCAAACCAAGTGTGGCCTTTCAGTATCAACAACCGGGGTTTGGATTCGGCAAGTGAGTGGAAGCGCACTAAGCGCACTAATGGCCCTCCAGGTACGCCAGGTGGATCCAGCCATTTAGCTCAGAGCCATTCGCCATTCAGCCTGAGGACACCAGAGTCCACCACTGGCGCCAGAGACGGGTAGGGAAGAGTGATCATCTCACTAAATTGGACTAAATCTACCAGCACCCGACTTCACAGGTGTTTCCTGGTGACAACAGCCCATGTTTCCACCTGTTAGTGTCCCAAAACAGCCTGTTTTGGAGGGTCCTGGTACATGAATCATCCAGACTTCAACATCCTGGATTGGTCATCCAGCATAACAAAAAGAGATTCTGAAAGAGACACCGGTTGCACCTCAAGAGCCAGGTGATGAGCTGAAGGTGCCGGGAAATACGTTGTGGAGAGCGTCTTTGGTCCGTTGGACGAACGAGGGAGGATCCAGGACGTGTAAAAACGGAATGTCCTGCTGGCTCCAAAAAAGGATCCAGGAGTGAATCTGGAATTGACTTGACTCGTTTTCCATCCCGGTTTGCGCTGGATTCCCGGAAACTGTTTGCGCTGCAGGTCGTAGCAGCTGAGAATTTGAGGTTACCCCCCTTCGTGCTCAGGTCAGCGAATTTGGGTGACTTCAACCTGTCTGTGGTGGCAAATCTGTGACATCGTTCAAACCAAGGAGTTTCATCGATCCCGGGAAGTCGACGATCTGTCGGACGAACGGGCCAGGGGACTTAGGGGACCTGAGTAGGGGATAGTGAGTGAACGGGCACGTCCTTGACTCCAGCCGGTCAAAATATCGTCGAACTGGACTTCTAGGGTTGATTGCAACCAAGGAATCCAACAACCACTTGGGTCCCACAAGAGCCACACCAAAAGATAAATATGGTCGTACGAGCCACACTTAGACTCCGCCGCCCCCAAGACCGTTGCTTTCCCTCCCAAATGTCAAGACTATGACGATGCAACCTACTAGAATTGATGTGACCTGTTTACTAGTAGGACGAAACCTGTTTGTTAGTAGGTTGCATAGTCTTATAGTAGGTTGACTAATTGTCTTTATAATACTTGACAAGACATTGACAAAGTCGGAAGGTTCAATCTGCAGTCACCACCCATGGCCCACGTCATCAGGGAGTCCAAACTGCCTTGGTCTCAAAACAGCCTCTGAACTCACATGCTCATACTCACCTCACATTGGTTGCAATTGCTTGGCAATCATGGATCAATCCTATCCTGTCTACACTTCAGCCAGAGAAAACACGTTTGTTTGTCCTATCCTGTCTACAGTTCAGCCAGAGAAAACACGTTTGTTTGCTGCACCTCCCAAGGGGAAACAGCTGGCGTGCTTAAAGCGGACGGTACTGAGAACGTCGCGACGTCGCCGAGAGATGGAGGCGGCTTTTCGTCAGGTACTGAGAACGTTGGAGGCCGAAGCGGAAGCCAAACTGAAGACCTGCCCGGTGGCGAAGTGGATGAAGTGGATGCAGCTACACCCAAGTCCAAAGACTTTGGACATAAAGGAAGTTCCCTTTAAGGTCCCCTAGTCAGATCGGCCCATTCTTTTTATAGTCTTTGACTCCCAGGGTACAGTGTTTTATTCGGAGAATCCGTTGGTAAAGTCGCCACTGATGGAAGGTCGACTCCGTCAACCGCCCCGCCTCCGTCAGCGCGACGCACCGGGTCCGCCTAGGTCGGCCCAGGTCGGTTTGGGGTTTAGGGTTCGGCCCACCGTCAATGGCCGGGTTCTGCAAAAGTCCCTCTGTCCCAGCTCACAAAATCCCAGACACGACTAATGGGACTGCCATAGGACTGCCGCCCCATTGACCCCTCTGGCACCACCCCAACTGATATGGCAGTCCCATTAGTCGTGTCTGGGAATTAGAAGATTCACGTGTAAAATGACCGTCCCTCAAAATCGCATCGCGTGGGTGGTTTTCTTGCGAGCATGCTGCCAACCAAAAGTGTATTCCCCCAAGCAAGAATCCCGGTCCTTTAAACAGCCCAAGCCTTCCGCTCCGTCAACACCTAGGGATTGGTTTCGAAACCCCTCCGACCCCTGCCCCGTCCGGATTCGGGTCGATTCTGGTCGCGTAGACGTGCTAGCAGATCTCCTTCGCTTCTTTGCTCCGCTGTGGCCGAGGCGGCTGCCTGATGCAGTCCTTGCAGAAAGCCGCCGAAGCATTGAACGGCTGTGGAAATACCTTGCAACGAGAGGCGGGCGCCCGCGCATCCTGTGAGGTTGATGGTTTCACGGAGAGAAGTGATAATGCGTGTGAAAACGGGGGTGGAGGTTGCCATGTTATAGTGTTTAGTGGAGGTTTTCTGAAGAGCACTGTAAAGATGTTTGATGAAGAAGCGGATGGCGCACAAGTGTGTGTGTGTGTGTGTCAAACCCTGTTCCTAAGGGCTTTTCACATCGGATTCAGTTTTCAAGCAGGGGAACTGGGCACTCTGTGACTGACCCAGTTCAACGAAGCTAGGTCACAGAGTGGGATATTCGGACCGTTCCAATCTCTCTCTTCATGGTGGTTCCACGATACTTCCCCTAAACCTTTTTCCTCCAGCCATTTTAGCCGCGCGTTTTGCAGCATGTCACCGCAGTCAAGTGAGAAACTCTTTTGTTCAAACACCTACAAATTTGCGGACTCTCCACCTTGCCGTTCTCTCACCATCTCTCACCTTCTTTCCACCTGGGAATTGAGTTAACCGAAAACCAATGTCAGAGTGTGAACCGCTCAGCCGTCCCACTTGGGTGCTGGGTGTGATCCTCCGCAAGGAGGCGCCGTTCTCATTCCGGAATTCGTGTAACTGATTCTTCGTCTCCACCATTCTTTGGATTTTCTTAACTGACTCCTTTCCAACACTGGATCAACTGCTTTACGAGCCGCCGGGCTTATACGGATAAAGCCATTTAAGTTCAACAGCCGCCGGGCTTGTACGGAGAATGAACCCCGACGCAGCTTCTACCCCAAACACCCCAACCCCTCCCACCCACTAATTAGGGTAACAGAGGGAAATGGTACTCGACACACTTGTGTGTCGGTGCCTTTCCCTCTGTTGTCCCTTTTCTAGTCTTCTCTACCCGGGCGGTCTAAGACTAAAGTCCCGCTCCCTAACTATTGCATGTAATTCATTTCGCTAAGTAATGAGTAATTCTAGAGTGCTAAGTATTCATACACACACACCACACATGTACATACACCTCCCTGCCCCCCCACTTTCTTTCTTGCGCTTTTGGTCGTTTCTTGGGCTTTCTCTCAGGCTTTTTAGGTTGCTCTTGAGGCTCCTTTCCCTACCCCAGTCAAGGGCTAAGTATTCACTTTTTTCTACTCCTACCTTTCTCTCTTGCCCTCTTAGCGCTGCTCTTTCTGCGTGTCTTTCTTTTGTTTCTAAGGCTTTTTAGGTAACTATTCAGGTCCTTCGCACGAGCGCCGCAAAGCGGCACCGTGTGTGTGTCAAACCCTGTTCCTAAGGGCTTTTCACATCGGATTCAGTTTTCAAGCAGGGGAACTGGGCACTCTGTGACTGACCCAGTTCAACGAAGCTAGGTCACAGAGTGGGATATTCGGACCGTTCCAATCTCTCTCTTCATGGTGGTTCCACGATACTTCCCCTAAACCTTTTTCCTCCAGCCATTTTAGCCGCGCGTTTTGCAGCATGTCACCGCAGTCAAGTGAGAAACTCTTTTGTTCAAACACCTACAAATTTGCGGACTCTCCACCTTGCCGTTCTCTCACCATCTCTCACCTTCTTTCCACCTGGGAATTGAGTTAACCGAAAACCAATGTCAGAGTGTGTGTTTTTAATACAGTTTGGGTCTGTAATCAAGTATCATTACTTTTTAGATGTCGGCCTGCAACCTGGCCCCATCATCATCCACTGGTGATGGGATAAACCCAATATAACGTGAATTCATCCCCGAGAATCAATGATCCAACGGAACATGCGTTCACCAGTGTTGAACTTTGATCGAACGTTCCCGTTCAGTGGTTTCTTTTTCAGGTCTTTGATCGCTGCCATCCACACGAATCGAACGGTTTTCGTGGATTTTCCACAGAAGACGTGCAGTCAGTGAAGCACTGTGTATGTTGGGGGTGGGGTGTCCAAGAAACCTGCAGTTGGCCAACAATTTTTCATCCGATCCTCTGGGCCCAGGGAGGAGGTTTTTGGAAAGTTGGAGTCGACCCGGAACTCGTACCTCGGAAGTCCTGGGTACAGTCGTACCTGTTTTTGATGGGGTCATGTCCCATTTTCTAAGGTACTTTGGAGGGTCCAGGTAGGTGCATGTATCAGCACCTTCAAAGGGGTCACCTGGCTGGAAGACGCTACACAGATCTCCAGGATCTCCAGCCACACACCGAAAAGAAGGTCCAGCGCCTGAATGTCCCTGGTGAGGGAGGTAGTTTCAGGGCGTCATTTGTGAAGAGGTTTTACAATCCAATTTTCTGTTTTGAATCAACAGTCTACATGACCCACCCCTTCTCCAGGAGCTATACCAAACTGACCGGCCCGGAGATCCATCCGTCGCGCTCGACCTTCCGGAACCCCAGGGAGGTCCACCGGTCTCCTGGAATCCTATGAGCCCCAGCGGCACACACCCTGCGAGCCACATGGTCATCACGTGGCCTTGGTCCAACGATGGCATGGTCATCACGTGAAAACTCCGAGATCCGGGGCGGTCCCTGAAATCACTGAAGCTTGGCACCCCGTTTCACAGAAGACGTTTCGTTTGGCGCATTGAAAGCAGAACAGGTGGGCCAACGATTTCACTGAAACCTTACCCAGACTCTCCGTGGGACTGGCATATTTGGATACATCCACCCCAGGTCAACCATCCCAATGAAGGTAAATATGCCAGTCCCACGGAGTGTTTGGGTCATGTTATGGTACCAAATTGCGATATGATTGGTCATGACCTAGACCTAAGCTGGACACATATGGCCGGCCAGCTTGATGGCTCGAATCCATAGTCATGTCACCCCGTTTGCAGTAGCTACCCAGATCCCGGCTGCCCGGTGTTGAATCTGGGCGGCAGGTCCTTCAGTCATCGCGGCCCTTGGCCAAGAGCTTTGCAGAGGAGGGAGGTGAGGGTACTACTTCGCAGCGCCATTCTAAGTAAGGGACACCATCTTCCCAATGGAGGTGGTGGGTGCTACTTCTGTGGATATGGTGTTGTTGACGGAGAAACACTCATGAGAAACAATCCCATACCTGGACCTTCAAAGGGGTGTCCTGTCCGGAGATCCCTAGGTAGTGTAGTGGGTTGGGGCCTCCAGCATTGGTGACCGCGACATGAAGGTGCTGGTATGTGTTTCAAGGCTTTCAGGCTCTCTGGATCCATATCGATCCATGTCGATCCATGTCGTCTTGCCAGGCGAGGAGGAGATGCACCCCAGCGAGGAGTACAGTAGGCGTCCCCCCCTTCACCTGGGTGGTGAATGGCTGGCAGTGGAGCTGGGAATGATGAGAGGTCCGTGCTCGCCACTCTTCCAGTGGACCACCAGAAAGGAAGCATGACTCGCATGGTTTTGGTTTTCCACCCAAAACCCACCAAGCATGCCACTTCCATGGTTGTGTTGCTTCTTTAAATGGGGTACGATTTCGACTGAGAAGGGCAACGCGTGGAGAAGAATGTCCTGCACCGCAGAGTCCGACGAAGTCCCGACATCCCGTGGTCTCACCAACCGATCCGTGTGGAAGAGGACGAAGACCTGGAATAGTTCAGGGTGAATGTGGGTGAATTTTGTTGGGCGATCTTGAATGGGGGCATGTCTGGACATGGAACCACGAATTGAAAGGCTTTGTGATGTGTTGTGTGTCATGGGTAGACCACTCTATTGGAGGGCTTTGTCCGGATTCACCATCAACAGCGGAATTACAGTTGTATTTGTTATAGATTCTTTTGTGGGTATACAAGGTGTACTTATATACCTGGACCTTCAAAGGGGTGTCCAATGGAGATCCCTAGGTAGTGTAGGGCTTCCAGCCAGGTGACCCCTTTGAAGGTGCTGGTAGTTGAATGTCATGAGGCTTTATTGGGTAGTGCTTGTGGCAGCAGTCTTTCCTGGCAGGTCAGTCTTATCTAACAAACAGCAGTCTTTCTGTCTTTCCTAAGCAGGTATGTCCAGGTAAGTCTTCTCTACGCAGACACATTCGACGTCTTCCCAAGTTTCCGCCCTCAGATCTATGTGAGACTTCACAGATCAATCGCACCAGTATTGGCTGGCCAGGTCATTCACCGGCTTGCAAAAACCAGCCCAATCACTGCATCGAATCGAATCCAAGGGCTCAGATGTGACATCCGGATGGCATCTTCCTAGCTGAGCTTGGGCACCGTCTTCCCCTTCTGGTAGGTCAGGATGGATATTTCCCTGGTAGGATGGGTGGGTGTGCAGTACGAAATATCCATGATAAAAGAAAAAAACAAAAACATCCTGGGGATCAGAGGAGATTTCCCACACCTTCCAGTCACCTCCCACCCACACCGGCCAGTTGCATCTTCCGCGCTTGTGAATCCTTGGGCGCTGCCTTGCTCACCTTGGCCGCAGCGCTCACCGGCCACGGGGACTGAGCTGACGGGTGGAGGCGAATAGGGCGGACCGTGGAGGTGCTGACGGAGTAGATGGTAAGGCTGTATACCATGCTGTATCCCCCAAAAGAAGAAGGCACGAAGGTGCTAACACTAGGCCTACTATAGGCTATAGAGCCGCCAAAGTCATGGAATTTGGACAAGTGCAATCCCTTTTCCAGCTTCCGAAATCGCTTCCCAATGAAACCAAGCACTCAAGACTGTCCTTTGTCCTCCCTTTTGGACACCCCGACCAACATAGACAAACCATGACAAAGGGCGGAGCAGGTTATAAGATCCCCAGTCGCAAAGGCGACGCTTCGTTTCCCGTGCGCCCGTGTTCCTGTAGCAGCGTAGCAGATGGACTGGGCCAGAACCTTCACGGGAGGTTCTTGAAGATGCGCTGAACCTAAGGTTCGACACTGTCTGGAAACTTGACAGTGAGGCAGTACATGGTAATGTGTGTGCACCAAGATTGTTTGCATCAGGTGGCATCCGTGCAGATTTTTCTCTCTTGGTATGGGCTATTGATGCAGCTGCTCTACCAGCTAGGTTTGACTTTTCCTTGACTGGTGGCAGCTAGAATCTAGAAAGCGCTTGATTGATGATCTGGCAGAGTGAGCTGAGCCGAGTCCAGCGATGTAGTGTTTGATTTGTGCGTCACACACTGCATGGGGCTTTTGATGTTTTTAGTTGTACGCATTGGGATGGCCCCGTGGGGAATATTCAAGTGTGTATGAGAACCTCGCCTTTTCTGGTAATTAATCAGTATGTGAGCGTTCTGTTGTCGTTGCCGCTTGTCTTCTCACGACTGTGGCACATGCTTGTACTCCGGTACTTTCAATGTTTTGGTGCATTGTCCTTGTACGCCTGCATGCATGGAGTGAAAGAGGCCTGCAGTACCCTGGAATTGGTGTCGCTGCTTTTGGGCCTACTCTTGACTTGCTTTACGGCACAGTGAATCCTTGTGCATGCCCGTGACCGCTGAATGTTAGCGGCCAGAGTGGTGCTCTTGTTGCACTTGTTCTTGCGCTTGGGTCACCTGCCAGCCCAGCGACAAGCTAGCCCAATTCATTAATTGTGTCGTATGATGCACTCTCCACTTTTTCAACCTCACTGAAAGGTAGGGGCGACTGCGCTCTCTTTTTGATGGTGAGGATTTGGCAGGCCTAATTACAGTAGGTGCATGTGCGGCCACAGGCGACCGCCTTCGGCAATCGCAAAGAAAGAGACCATTAACCGTTCATTAACCTCAACTCGGCTCTTGTTTGTATCAGTGGTCATGTTTCTGTTCATGTTTCTTGACCTGCTTCGTTTCCGTCATCCCTTGCCGTCCTCCGTCGCCGTCTTAGGCGACTTGCTGACGCCTTTGAATGAGCTCCGACGTCACATGACCCATGTGCCCCGGACGGCCCAAGCAGAAGCCAACGGAGATGAACGGAGGTGTTGTCTGGATCGGGCTGGAAGGGATAATATGAATAACCCCCCACTGCTTGGATTGTAAAGCCTCTGCTTTTCGGGGGTTCGTGATAGATCAAGCGTTTTCTACATTGTGGTCATGAAACCAGGACACCGAGCGGTTGACCTGGTGTCGGTCGTTAGATGGTGGACTGGTCGGGCTCCAGGTTTTAACCCATCCCTATGTAGACGGTTGATTCAAACAAATACATTTGCATCACTTGGGGTTATTGATGTCTACATTCATTAGGGTCGGTATGATATCGAATCAGATCATATCAGATCAAAATCCCAAAGTTTTGGAGTAATAGATAACCATGATCAATGTTGGTTTGAGTGGTATTTCAATCATGGTTGGTTAGTTGGTTGGTTTCACTTAGACAGCCAAAGACTGTGGTTCTGTAGTTGTTCAGCCAGAAGAAATCACCTCCGAACCTGACTCTTCGCAAGACGGAAAGGGGGCTGGAATGCTTGGACCTATTTGTGGGGTTCTCCATCACAAGTAGATGAACCAAAAATACCAGCAGCCTCGGGAGAACCTCCCATTCTCAATGGATTACGTGCAAAAATTTGCTTTGGTCACGTGGTCTTTGGTAGGTTCCCCAAACATTTCCCAAATTCAGTTGAGCTCTGAGGAGCGCAAAGAGCTTCAAGAAGAGTTGGAACGCCTGCAACAGCGGGACTGCGACCCGAAGCAACACGGGCCGGGCGCTGCGGATCGAAGATCGAAGGATCTAGCCTTCCAGAATTCCCCAGCTAGGATCTATTACCATCCGGGTACAGAACCACCGACCACCACCCCCTCCATGAGTTATAAGGGTAGTGACGGTGCAACTGTGCGTAAGAGTTCGTTCTAACACCCTATAAGAATTAAGGACACGAGCCAAACCTTCCACAGTGAAGGTTTGCTTGGGGTCCAACTTCCCCCTTTTCTATGCAGGGTCAAGACATGTCAAAACCAAGCAAGCAGTTGGGAGGAAGCTGGCTCCAGAGGCAGGACGTCGGAGTCATCAACGTGTTTTTCCCATCAAGATACCCCAGCCTCCAACTGGGGCTCATGGACAATCCCCTGTTGGACGAGGAATCCTTCCAGGGCTACTTTTCTTCCACCGAAGGGGTTTTTCCACCAGGGAAATGGTGGAAAAAGCTGAATCCTCGCTGGATCGGCTCCGGTTTGTCCCGTTTCTACGGGGACTCCTCAGTGGGAGGCATTGCGATGTGGGCGAGGTGGGTTTAGACTTGCAACCCCAACAGGTATAGCTTCAGACCAGACGGAGCCATTCCGGCAGCCCGTCGCATGAAGCGGAAGAAGAGTCGCGGTCCGTCGGTTCGTCTCTTACTTCGCCGTCGCAGGAGATGCTTTGCTGCGAAGCCATGGCCGAAAGTGTGGCACGAAAGGAGAAGGTTTCGAGCGAGCTGCAGGCCCGACAGCAAGGGTTACAACTGTCAGACAGTGTGTGGAGACTTGGTGGTGGTCAGCACAAGTCTTCGTGTGCAACTGGCCGGTTGACTGTATGGACATGTATTCTTCCAACTCTGCAAAGAATTCTACCCGGCCCAAAGGCCAAGAGTTGCAGAGTTGGAAGGTCTATAAAGGTCTGGAGGCCATGGTATCCAGCAGACCGTCGAGTCTTTTCACCGACCATTTCTGCCAGTTGGACGTTTCGAAGGTTCCACTTGTCCAGCGGCACGTCGTTCCATGTGCATTCGGAGAAGAAGCCGCAGGACCCCCGCCTCGGCCGCCTGAAGCCGCCTACGGAAGTCGTGTCTCGGTCGCCTTCCAGGAACGGCTGCAGCAGAGCCAAGAGAAAGGCCGCGAGAAACGCTTGGTCCGTTGGATCCTCAAGAAGACCTCCAAGGCGCCACGTCGCATCGAGTCGTTTAGTCGTTTGCCGCCGTTCTGTTGTTTGCCACAGAGTCGAGTCGTTGTCTCCGAGTAATGCCCTTGTTCTGTTCCTAGTAGCGTCCTTGCTCCTAGTAGTTAATAAGGCCAGGAGCCCCTAGTAGCGTCCTTGTTCCTATAGTAGCGATGCCCTTTTGATGATGGGGTGGATCATGAACATCATGCCAAGTTCAAATACATAGTATATAGCATGACCTAGGGATCCCTTCCTTCCGGGGTGGACAAGGGCCGAACGTTTTCTTGGACCAAGTATGTACAATGCTTCCTGTCAGATCGGGGTTCTAGTGGGGGGAGCTGGTGACCTACGCTTGATCAACAGTTCCAGTTCTCCATCGCGCGCAGTTTTCCTGCGATTTCCCTTTGTCATTGGCCATGGAAGCACTTGAAGGCTTTCACCCGGTTCTCAATTTGGAATGCTGATTCGTAGAGTCCCAGAGCCTATGGCGGCTGGTTTGAAGCTTTGGGGGAATAATGGGGCATAGGCAGTGCTGGGTTGGGAGAGGTGAGACATTGATCACCACTACATTATTTACAGCCTTCGGCATGCCGCCGGCCACCAGCTCGAGCCCGCATTGGCAGGCAGCCTAATGATGCAAACCGTAGATTGAAACCAACCGGGGCAGGGCAGGCTGTCGAAAGATCCGCGCGGAGAAACAAAACCAACCGTAGATTGAAACCAATGGAAACCAACACAAGCCAGACGAAGCAAGACAATCCACAAAACCGGTACTTGAAAATGAGTCTTCTTCCAAACTACTTGGCCTTTTGCATGTTTTCCTTGTCAGATCTTTTTTCGACCGTCTTGAGGAATTGCGAGTCGCACAAGATATTCTTTTTCACATACAGAAGCCTTCAAAGCGACCGAAGAAGTTCTTGATTTGGCATGATTTGTCGTTTTTTTCTCCAAACCCTTCGAATTGAAAGACCCAGAATGACATCGAACAACAATACCCTGCTCAATCATACTTGTTGGTGCATTGGAGTTGCACATTTGGCTGGGTGAGTTTGTTGATTTTTATTTCAAGGTTGTTTGACCATGACATGGAACGAATCCGAATCAGAGGTTGTCTATTCTGATCCAGCGATCCGAACCGGCGTGTCTCAGTCGAGTCACCTAAGAGGAACCAATTGAAACCAACACAAGCAATGCGAACCAAGACTATCCACAAAACATGACCTTGAAAACGATTCTTCTTCCAAACTACTTGGCCGTTTGCATGTTTTCCTTTTCAGATCTTTTTTCCGACCGTCTCGAGGGATTGCGACACGCACCAGATATTCTTTTTCACACACAGAAGGCTTCAAAGCGACCGAAGAATTTCTAGATCTGGCATGACTTGTCGTTTTTTTCTCCAAACCGTTTGAAATGAAAGACCATCCCCCTTGCACAGGTCCTTATGAAATGGGGATCTTAGTAACCTATAAAATGACTTTTATGGGGGGTCATTTTATAAAGATCACTGTGCTTCCGAAAATCGGAATTTCAACAAAAAAGCCTACTTCTTGCGGCAAACTATTTCATAAGAAGGTCGGTTTGGCTCCTGTGTACATGTTATAAACAGTGATTCTTTTTTAACATAGAAACAGCTGGGACATGGTTATTCATGTTATAAACAAGTAAGGATGTGAGAGAATAGAATCATGCTGCAGATGGATACTCATTTTATAAAACACAAAGGGTTGTGTCGGATTTCGGAAGTTTCTGGATTTTTGATATGTTTGCCAATGGATTTGATAGTCCTTGGCAGGGGAAAACTATTTTATAAACCATTCCCTCTGCCAAAGAGCTGGAGGGTGTGGACAAATACGATGGGCCTTGGCAGGGAAAATTATTTATAAAATGGGTTTGCCATCTATTTCCTGGGAGGGTGTGGACAAATACGATGGGCCTTGGCAGGGAAAATTATTTATAAAATGGGTTTGCCATCTATTTCCTGGGAGGGTGTGGACAAATACGATGGGCCTTGGGAGGGGGAAAAAGGTTTATAAAATGGGTTTACCAGCTTTTCCCTGGGAGGGTGTGCACAAATACGATGGGCATGGTGAAGTTTTATAAAATGAGGCGATCCAATCTCCGCGTTTTGGGTCACTTTTTTTGCGCTGTGGTTGGCTCCCTTACAATAGTGGCTCTACAACCAAGGTTTCTAATAACCTTGGTTTGCATGGGCCTATCACACCCTAATGAGCCATTTATGGTATAGCCGTATAGTGGCTATAGGCTCCCTGTAGGTAAATCCTGCGCAGGACTAGTTTCTGTGAATTCTGTTTGAAGAGGAATCACACTCAAAACATCTCAAAAGAATGAAAGTCAACTTTAGTTTTAAAAACATAGAAGCAACTGTGCAGTTTAAGACAAGTGATAGCAACCGAATGCAATCATCTCAACAAACTTG